ATTTAGCTCTTACATCAACTACCTATGAACTATTATCATTCCACCTCTCAGAGTTGAGAAACTGTGGCTTTAAAAAAGTAAATTGCTCAAGATCACACACCTAGTAAGTGATGGAGCCAGGATCCTAATCCACATCTGTAGGTTTTATGCAAACATTTCCAAACAATTAACACCTGATACCTCAATACTGACTTGCTTTAAATTATCTCTAGGGAAAATACTCGCATTTAAAATTAGATTGTATTTATTTTAGAGAAATGTCACTTTTTTTTTTAGGTGTTTGATAAAGTTTTATTTTAATTCCATTAAAAAATTTTTAAATTCGGGGGAGGAGCAAGATGGTGCAGGAGTAGGAGACCTAAATTTCGTCTGGTCCCAGGAATTCAGCTAGATGGGGATCAAACCATTCTGAACACCTACAAACTCAACAGATCCAAGAAAAGAATAGCAGCAACGCTCTGAACAGAAAAGCGACCACTTTCTGGAAGGTAGGACATGCAGAGAAGTGAATCGAAGGTGATATTCGGAAGGATAGACCATGGGGGAGGGGGCCTCCACCAGCCATTACCGGCAAGTGATAGACCCGAGGAGCACAAAATCGGAACTTTTAGAAGTGGGCTCTGCTGAGGGATGTAGCTCCAGTGGCTAAGTGGGGGATGGAACACTCGCAGGACAGTGTGGTCTCAGGACCCTCGGGGTCACAGAAAGACCGGGGGTGCATGAGTGCGGCAGAGCTCCCAGGTAAGGGAGCAGGGAAGCCGGCTGCAGAGACGGAGCCCAGGCGCGGGCTCTCAGCTCGGGGTTGCCATAAACCGTGATCCGCGGCACAGTCGGGCCCCTGCTCCTCCAGCAGGGACCCAACCAGCGGCAGATCCGGGGAGACTCCCCTTCCTCCCCTGGGAAGAGCGGCGTGGGAGCACACCATAGGGATCTGCTGGGTTTGGAGACTCCACACCCAGTCGGGTGCCAGAAATAGAAACCCCAATCAAAAGACACAGGCTATCAGGGTGGATAAAGAAACAAGACCCATCTAAAGGCTGTCTGCAAGAGACTCATTTTAGAACCAAAGACACCCCCAGATTGAAAGTGAGGGGGTGGAAAACAATTTACCATGCTAATGGACACCAAAAGAAAGCTGGGGTGGCAATCCTTAGATCAGACAAATTGCATTTTAAACCAAAGACTATAATAAGAGATGAGGAAGGACACTATATCCTACTTAAAGGGTCTATCCAACAAGAAGATCTAACAATTGTAAATATCTATGCTCCTAACATGGGAGCAGCCAATTACATAGCCAATTAATAACAAAAGCAAAGAAACACATCGACAACAATACAATAATAGTGGGGGACTTTAACACCCCCCTCACTGAAATGGACAGATCATCTAAGCAAAAGATCCACAAGGAAGTAAAGACTTTAAATGACACACTGGACCAAATGGACTTCACAGATCTATTCAGAACATTCCATCCCAAAGCAACAGAATACACATTCTTCTCTAGTGCCCATGGAACATTCTCCAGAATAGATCACATCCTAGGTCACAAATCAGGTCTCAACCAGTACCAAAAGATTGGGATCATTCCCTGCCTATTTTCAGGCCACAATGCTTTGAAACTAGAACTCAATCACAAGAGGAAAGTCGGAAAGAACTCAAATACATGGAGGCTAAAGAGCATCCTACTGAAGAATGAATGGGTCAATCAGGAAATTAAAGAAGAACTTAAAAATTCATGGAAACCAATGAAAATGAAAACACAACTGTTCAAAATCTTTGGGATGCAGCAAAGGCAGTCCTAAGAGGAAAGTACATAGCAATACAAGCCTTTCTCAAGAAACAAGAAAGGTCTCAAATACACAACTTAACCCTACACCTAAAGGAGCTGGAGAAAGAACAGCAAATAAAGCCTAAACCCAGCAGGAGAAGAGAAATAATAAAGATCAGAGCAGAAATAGAAACCAAAACAACACTAGAACAGATCAACAAAACTAGGAGCTGGTTCTTTGAAAGAATTAACAAGATTGATAAACCCCTGGCCAGACTTATCAAAAAGAGATGACCCAAATAAATAAAATCATGAATGAAAGAGGAGAGATCACAGCCAACACCAAAGAAATACAAACAATTATAAGAACATATTATGAGCAACTATATGCCAGCAAATTAGATAACCTGGAAGAAATGGATGCATTCCTAGAGATGTATCAACTACCAAAACTGAACCAGGAAGAAATAGAAAACCTGAACAGACCTATAACCACTAAGGAAATTGAAGCAGTCATCAAAATTCTCCCAAAAAACAAAAGCCCAGGGCCAGATGGCTTCCCAGGGGAATTCTACCAAACATTTCAAGAAGAATTAATACCTATTCTTCTGAAACTGTTCCAAAAAATAGAAACGGAAGGAAAACTTCCAAACTCATTTTATGGGGCCACCATTACCTTGAATCCAAAACCAAAGACCCCATCAAAAAGGAGAATTCCAGACCGATATCCCTGATGAACATGGATGCAAAAATTCTCACCAAAATACTAGCCAATAGGATCCAACAGCACATTCAAAGGATTATTCACCACGACCAAGTGGGATTTATCCCTGGGCTGCAAGGTTGGTTCAACATCCACAAATCAATCAATGTGATACAATACAATAATAAAAGAAAAAACAAAAACCATATGATCCTCTTCAATAGATGCAGAAAAAGCATTTGACAAAGTACAGCATCCTTTCTTGATCAAACCTCTTCAGAGTAGAGGGAGAGAGGGTCCATACCTCAATATCATAAAAGCCATCTATCAAAAACCCACAGCGAATATCATTCTCAATGGGGAAAAACTGAGATCTTTCCTCCTAAGGTCAGGAACATGGCAGGGATGTCCACTAACACCACTGCTATTCAACAAAGTATTAGAAGTCCTAGCCACAAAATTAACAAGTCAGGAAATGACAGATGTTGGCGGGGATGTGGAGAAAGGGGAACCTTCCTACACTGTTGGTGGGAATGCAAGCTGGTGCAGCCACTCTGGAAAACAGCATGGAGGTTCCTCAAAAAGTCGAAAATAGAGCTACCATATGACCCAGCAATTGCACTACTGGGTATTTACCCCAAAGATACAAATGTAGGGATCCGAAGGGGTACGTGCACCCTGATGTTTATAGCAGCAATGTCCACAATAGCCAAACTGTGGAAAGAGCCAAGATGTCCATCAACAGATGAATGGATAAAGAAGAGGTGGTATATACATACAATGGAATATTATGCAGCCATCTAAAGGAATGAAATCTTGCTATTTGCAACAACGTGGATGGAACTGGAAGGTATTATGCTGAGTGAAATAAGTCAATCAGAGAAAGACATGTATCATATGATCTCACTGATATGAGGAATTCTTAATCTCAGGAAACAAACTGAGGGTTGCTAGAATGGTGTGCGGTGGGAGGGATGGGGTGGCTGGGTGATAGACATTGGGGAGAGTATGTCCTATGTTGTGTGCTGTGAATTGTGTAAGACTGTTGAATCACAGACTTGTACCTCTGAAACAAATAATACATTATATGTTAAAAAAAAAAAAGAAGAAGATAGCAGGAAGGGAAAAATGAAGGGGGGGAAATTGGAGGTGGGGATGAACCATGAGAGACTATGGACTCTGAGAAACAAATTGAGGGCTCTAGAGGGGAGGGGGAAGGGGGATGGGTTAGCCTGGTGATGGGTATTAAAGAGGGCACATACTGCATGGAGCACGGGGTGTTATATGCAAACAATGAATCATGGAACACTACATCTAAAACTAATGATGTAATGTATGGTGATTAACATAACATAATAAAATAAAATTTGAATTCTTTAAACTCCATTTAATTAACATACTGTATAATTAGTTTCAGGGGGAGAATTTAGTGATTCATCAGTTGCATATAACGCACAGTGCTCATTACATCAAGTGCCCTCCCTAATGCCCATTACCCAGTTATGCCATCCGCCCACCCACCTCCTCTTCAGCAACCCTCAGTTTGTTGTACCTGAGAATCATAAAGATGAACAGCATAAAATATTACATTTATACATCACTTATTTAGAGTGATTTTTCTCCTTGTATTTGAGAAGTTTAGTATTAGTATAGTATTAGTATAAACACTCATCTAAGAAAGTCTTATACTTTTTACTTTTTTTTCCTTATTGTTATGAGAGAAACATCACCTTTATAAAAAAATCTCCAGCCTTCAATTAGTAATGCCAGGCAATATACTACCTCTTTTCATATCATGTGTAAGTCCATCAAATGAGGGAAGGCATAGAGTTGATTTTTGCTCACTAAAATATCTTAATCACAGGGTGCCTGGGTGGCTCAGCCTTCGGCTCAGGTCATGATCTCAGGGTCCTGAGATCGAGCCCCGCATCGGCCTCCCTGCTCAGCGGGAAGTCTACTTCTCCCTCTCCCACTCCCCCTGCTTGTGTTCCCTCTCTTACTATGTCTCTCTCTGAAATAAATAAATAAAATCTTTAAAAAAAATAATAAAATAAAATAAAATATCTTAATCACCTGGTACAAAATGATGAATGAATTAAGTTCATTAGTTATCAAATAAAGAAATGAATAAAAGTCTGGCTCCAGAGCCACCTCAGCGGCTAATGAGCAGCCCATCAGAGCCTCCTAGATAGCCTGAGAAAACAAGCGTTGTTAGAGCTGAAATCAGTATAGCCAAGAGCAAAGTAATTTGATGAATTAACCTATGTAGCATTATCATGTTAAATTTTTCATTTTCCATAAAGAGTCAAAACAGCTAGAAAATCCCAATCATTGTCTAGGTAGACCTTCAGGATCCCAGGAATGCAACTATGAGACTCCATTGTGATATTTTGTATTATAAACATCCTGAAAATGGTTAAAGAAGGCATAGAGTTAGACATTATAATAATTGATATCTAAATATCGGCCAATATTCTACTGATAATCAACCACTTGACAAGAAAAAAAGAAATTCAAAGCATTTACCAGACATATCACCGTTGTGATCATAAAATGGAGGTGAGAGACCAGTCATCCCACTTCTCTTTGTCCAAACAAGTTGCAGACTATGATCTTGTGTCATACTACAGAGCCCATTTTCAAAATCACATCTTTCATAACTGGAGCCTAATGAGAAAATAAAGAAATTAGCTTTCACAACTCCATTTGGCTTCTTAAGAAATCAGACAAGAGTAGAGAAAAAAAAAAAGCTTAGCAACAAACAGCAAATGTAGATTAATATAAGGACTATTTTCCACATTTTAAGTCTACTTTATTAATGCAAAGCTTTTTTGCAGATGACATTCTAATAAATCACTACACACAAAACCAGTGTGGTCAAACAGAAAGAAGGCCACTCGAGGTCAGAAGAGAGAGGACCTAATCCTGGTTTTGTCTATTACCCGAGTGCTTTAGTTAAACCATTTAACCATAGCAAGCCCTTTTCTTCCCTTATAAGATTAGAATAATGACATCCTGCCCTCTCTCCCTCAAATGACTGCTATAAGAATCAAATGACATAATTTATATAAAATACAACTCTTAGAACTATAAAACATGAGGAATTATTATTAAGGTTATATCTTCAGGTCCACCTCGATATTTCAGCCTTCCAGGCATATCAGAATCTCAGGTGTGGGCAAACACATCACCAAGGACCTTCTGACTAAAGATCGACCATCCGTGGCTGTGATGCAACCCTGGAATTAAATATAGCACCTTCCTGTTGAGTATCAAGTTCTTGGAATTCTTGGTGCTTTTATCATAACAAGGGCAATTTCTGGCTCTTTTTGTCTTTTCCCCAGGGTTAACTGATCCGAGCGGTTTGGCAGAAGCTGAAGGATTTGGACATTTGGTTGTTCATAATAACCACCAAGTCGGGCTTTATTTCATTATCCAACATCTGTAAATGTCAACTCTCTAAAAAATAGGTTATCTCGACCACAATAGCCCCTGCTGGGTTATAGTTCTTAACAACCATGGAGATTCTCCTTTGACAAGTTTGTTCTTGCCCTGACTGGTTGCATTAGCCACCGTGGGAGTAAATATGCTGGTGAATGGTTAGGCAGCATCTGGCAACCCAGTCACGAAATCATAATTTTTACTTAAGCACATTTTGGACAAAATATTATTTAATAATGATATATCGGATGCATGTTCTTGAGATCATACATATGAGTACTGAAAGCTGATTTAGAAATATCACTTTTGAATGACAAGTAAACTCACTTTATTACCAGTGGTCTATTTCATTTATTTTACTCCTAGATCCCTTATTTTGAAAGATCTCATAGACCAGCTGTATTCTGTAATAACAGGAATCTTAATAGCTACAATTTATCAAGGTAGTTTGTTCTGTGCTAGGCGTTCTACTTGCAGTTTTTTATTTATTCCTTACAACAACCATATGAATCAGGCATTTTTTTCCATTTTAAAAGTGAAGAAGCTGGGGCAACTGGGTGGCTCAGTCAGTTAACTGTCTGCCTTCAGCTCAGGTCATGATCCTGGGGTCCTGGGATTGAGCCCCACGTGGAGCTCCCTGTTCAACAGGGAGTCTGCTTCTCCCGCTGCCCCTCCCCCCTCATGCTCTCTCTCTCTCTCTCTCTCTCTCTCTCTCTCTCAAATAAATAAATAAATAAACAAAATCCTTTTTTTAAAAAGTGAAGCAGTTTAGACCATGTGTTACAGACATAAAGTAACTCACCCAAGTTAGACCAGCTAGTGAGTGCTGGGGCTAAGATTAGAACCAAGGTCTTTCTCATGTATCATATGACCTCACTGATATGAGGAATTCTTAATCTCAGGAAACAAACTGAGGGTTGCTGGAGTGGGGGGTGGGGTGGGAGGGATGGGGTGACTGGGTGATAGACACTGGGGAGGGTATGTGCTCTGGTAAGCGCTGTGAATTGTGCAAGACTGTTGAATCTCAGATCTGTACCCCTGAAATAAATAATGCAATATATGTTAAGAAAAAAAAAAAAGAAGAAGAAGAAGATAGCAGGAGGGGAAGAATGAAGGGGGGGAAATCGGAGGGGTAGACGAACCATGAGAGACGATGGACTCTGAAAAACAAACTGAGGGTTCTAGAGAGGATGGGGGTGGGAGGATGGGTTAGCCTGGTGATGGGTATTAAAGAGGGCACGTTCTGCATGGAGCACTGGGTGTTATGCACAAACAATGAATCATGGAACACTACATCTAAAACTAATGATGTAATGTATGGGGATTGAAATAACAATAAAAAAATTAAAAAAAAAAAAAAAGAACCAAGATCTTTCTGACTTCAGAACATGAGCTCGTAAAGCTCTGTTCTGAGGCCTAATTATTAGTCCACTCTCCCATTTTGATCAAAAACCTAGAGTTAGGGGGCACCTGAGTGGCTCAGATGGTTAAGCATCTGCCTTCGGCTCAGGTCATGGTCCCAGGGTCCTGAGATCGAGCCCCGCATCGGGCTCCCTGCTCAGCGGGAAACCTGCTTCTCCCTCTCCCACTCCCCCTGCTTGTGTTCCCTCTCTCTCTGTGTATCTCTCTGTCAAATAAATAAATAAAATCTTAAAAAAAAAAAAAACCTAGAGTTAGAAGTTCTAGTCAGCCTGAAGGAACCAGTATTTCCAGACTGAATTGATGTCATTCTATCCAAAAGCTAAGAAATTTGATTAGTCTGGGAATCATACCATGGCTAAATTTACAATTGCCATAAGGCCTTTGAAATATTTAGAATAGCTGGAATATCCCAATTATTACCTCATGGACCTCTCGTGATCTAGAGAATCTGGTTGAACAACAACAACAAAAATGAACAAAATTATATATAATTATTTGTATATATATGTGTGTGTGTCATTCAATTAGCTATGCATGTATCTGCATAAATAGATTTTCAAGTTTCCTATAGTTCCTAGCAATTTTTACAACAATCTATTTGTAATTCTAAAATATTCTAAACTATTTTTACCACCATATTTCAGCAACCATGTGTATGAAATATACATACATTCTCACATAAGTGTCAAACATTTTTTAAATGCCAAGAAATCACGTTGCATTACAATTACTTAGTTGACTTCTGTTCACGATGTTTTGTTCTTTTTAATACAGAAAGATAATCATAATGATTTCTGGAAGTGTTAAAACTAGAAAAATAGCTAAATAGAACATTTTTTTTCTTCTGAATAATCTCAACAGGGGTTCTTTTTGTTATAAAATGAATCTAATGAGCATACATTTTCAAGTACTTCTTGTAAAAATCACAAACTTCTAATAACTGCTGGATTATTCAAAATTTGCATCTGAAAATTTTCCATTTATTTTCCCCCAACAGAGAGTTGTATATTTTAAACCATTTGAACCATGTTTCTTGCACTGTCACTGATTTGCCTCTTAATTCCATATGCCACATGTCTACATCCAAATCTGAAACTATTTGCTATGCTAAAATCTGCCTGCATAGAGCGTTCTGCTATCATAGCCATCACTAAATTGTGTTGAGTAAGGCCACAGTTCAACAGGATATGGAACAATGAGGAGCAGTATGCAGGAACTTATCAGTAGAATCCATATTCCTGGGCTTTTGGAACATGTGGAACTCATTTCTCCAATTTTGTGATCCCAAAGGTGGGATGTACTATAATCAAAGAGGGAGGGTGTCTCCATGATGTGATCTGAGGTTGCTTGGAAGGCCCAATTATCCCCCGAATTGTCTTCCACAGTGCCCGACTCTCTCATTTAAAATTCACTGAAGAGTTCCTCTTAGATTTAATCATTAACACCTTCATGGGAAGACAAATATTAAATTATATCTCCAAGTGATGGTTAACTTAGGGCATACTTTTGAGAAAATGAGTAGGAAGAGAATCAACTTTTAAATAGTGGTGATGGTGAAGAAATTGGTGCACAACTCAGAATTAAGTATGGTATGGGTAGATGGTCACAATATAAAGTGCTTAGAAGACAGAGAAAATATAAGAATTATGAAAAAATCTAGAAAGGGAGAGGCAGAAGATAGTAAAAGTAAACCACATCTCACAATATTGCCTGGGCCTATATTAATAATGCATTTCTCTCTTCCTCTTAAAAGATCTTTGAGGCCCAGTTGTAGTCTTAACAATGAGTCCTGCTCTTTCTGAAAAATTGTGGCAAAATACACATGACATAAAATTTATCTTTTAACCATTTTTAAGTATACCGTTCTCTGGTATTAAATACATTCACGTTGTTATGCAACCATCACCACCATCCAACCCCAGAGCTTTTTGTTTTTTCCAACTGAAACTCCATATCCATTAAACACTAACTTCCCATTCTCTCTTCCCTCCAGCCCACCATTCTACTGACACCCACCATTCTTTTCTGTCACTATGGATTTGACTACTCTACATACCTCATGTAAGTGGAATCCCAATATTTGTCCTTTTGTTACTTGTTTATTTCACTTAGTATTATGTCCTCAAACTTCACCCATGTTGCAGCATATATCAGAATTTGTTTCCATTTTGAGACTGAATAATATTCCATTGTATGTATATACCACATTTTGTTTACCTATTCATCTGAAAGGACATTTGGGTTGCTTCCACCTTTTGGCTATTGGGAATAATGCTGCTATGAACACTGGTGTACAAATATCTGTAAGAGTCCCTGCTTTCATTTCTTTTGGATGTATCTCCAGACATAGAATTATTGTGTCATGTGGATAATTCTAATTTTAATTATTTGAGGAATTGCCATGCCATTTCACAGAAAAGCTAAAAGATTTTACATTCCCACCACAATTGCACAAGTGTTCCAATATTTCAACATCTTTGCCAACAACTGTTATTTCCTGGGGTTTTGTTTGCTTATAATAGCCATCCTAATGGGTATGAGGTGGTATCTCATTCTGGTTTTGATTTGCTTTTCCCTAATGATCAGTGATGTTGAACATCTTTTCATGTGCTTACTCATATTTGTATATCATCTTTGGAGAAATGTCTATTCAAATCCTTTGTCCATTTTTAAATCAGGTTGTCTGTTTTTTGTTGTTGTGAGAGTTCTTCATATATTCTGCTATCAACCTCATATCAGATATGTGATTTGCAAATAGTTTCTCTTATTCAATGGATTGCCTTTTCATTCTGATAGTGTCCTTT